GATATCCTAAATGGTTGGAAGATTGCTTTCCAATTCAAACCACTCTTAGGGTAGGCAAATGGCTGGGACCCTTGAGGGTGTATCTTACATGGTGGTAGAGATGGGAAAGGATTTCGATCACTATGAGAGAGAAATGCATGATTATTTTTTTTTAAGATTTTATTTATTTATTCATGAGAGACAGAGAGAGAGAGCGAGCGAGAGCGAGAGAAGCAGAGGGAGAAGCAGGCTCCCAAGGAGCAGGGAGCCCGATGTGGGACTCGATCCCAGGACCCTGGGATCATGACCTGAGCCGAAGGCAGACGCTTAACCGTCTGAGCCACTCAGGTGCCCGAGAAATGCATGATTATTAAATACAGTTCATCCCAGCAGATTTACATGCTAGACTTTTTTCAAAAAGGACCGTAATAAAGAAAATAACCATTTTTTTTTCCTTACACAATTTTTGTTGTTAATTCTGTCAGAGACAGGACATTTGCTGCATGTGCTAGTAGTCTAATGGGCTTGGGGATTTCTTTATACCCTTAAAATCACAGAATTTTAGGTGTAGAAGTGGCCTTATCCTACCATTAGATAGTACTCATCAGATTCCCTTTCCTTCAATGGGACTTAACTTTATTGTCATTTCTTTCCACTATGATTTCCACAGACTCCCACTCTCTCACTGGGTTAGTCCCCTCCATGCCCCTTTACCTATGTGTCAGTCAGTTCTCTATTAAGGCACGTGTCACACTGTATGGCAATCATTTGTTCATATGAATGTCTTTCCCTTTGGATTGTAAGCTGTGTAAAGGCAGGAAGTGGAATATGACCACATACTTCCCAGCGCCCAGCTGAAAGCCTAGTTTATGGTAAGAACTTAAGGAAGATTAACACCTTCATAGTAGCAAACAACTCCCAAATCTCAGTGGCTTAAGACAATCTTGGGTTGGCAAGGGTCCTGTTTCATGGTGTCCTCACTGAGGGGTATAGGCTAAGAAAGTCTGCATAAACTTGGATGCATGCTAGTCATCTTGGCGGGGGCTGGAAAGAGTGAATCATGCCCCAGTTCTTCATGTTTCGGCTTGGAACTGACATGTCACTTTCTCTCATTGTTCCTTGATCAAAGCAAGAGATGTAGCCATACCCAATGTCATAGGGGTGTACAAGAGCAACACCTCTGTGTTTCTGAGAGGAGGAGGTCAGGAACGTTAGCGAGCCCCACTAATACCTAAATCAATATCTGATGCACAGTGGGCACCTATGAACCATTTAATGAATAAAGTACCTAGAATTTTCTGTTGGATTTTAAATTTTTCCATACAATAATTAGAACCACTTCAAGTATGTATCCTGTTAACTACATTTTTTAGAAGATGAGGATGCTAATATTACTGTACAAGCTGTGTTCAGCAGACTTCTGGGAATTTTTTTGTAACCGCTTTGTTCACTTTACTCATATTAGGGGAGGCGTTGTGTTTGATTTTGTAGTTTTTCAGATGATTAGAGTACGGAATGGGTATATTTGCACAATTAACATTTTGCCTGAGTCATTAAGAAGAGTTGGGAAAAAAAGTCGTCAGATATTTACATATTAAGTTAGTCTGACCAAGAACCTTTTTTAGAAGAGTTATTATCTGGCTCAACACAGTTGGACAAAAGCTTAGGAAACATGAGAACGTAATCAACTTAAACATGAAGTATTTCTGAGAACACTTAAGTTCTACTTTCTTAGCAAATTTCAATTATACAATAGTGTTTTCAACTACAGTGTAGTCACCATGTTTTATATTAGATCCTCAGACATCCGTCTTGTAGCTGAAAGTCTGTACCCTTTTACCAACTCATTTACAACTTGAATGTTCTCTCTTTCTCTCTCTCTCTTTCTTTCACACACACACACGTGTTTGAGGTGATGGATGTGTTAACTAACCAGATGGTGAGAATCCATTCACAACATATATGTACATCAAATTACATCAAATTACCACAATGTCCATTTTAAATATCTTGCAATCTTATCTGTCAATCATACCTCAGTAAAGCTGAAATAAAATAAATGCAAATTTTTATTTTTATAAAAGATTTTATTTATTTATTCATGAGATACAGAGAGAGAGAGGGGCAGAGGGAGAGGCAGGCTCCCAAGGAGCAGGGAGCCCGATGCAGGACTCGATCCCAGGACCCTGGGACCATGACCCGAGCCGAAGACAGACGCCCAACCATCTGAGCTACCCAGGCGCCCAATAAATGCAAATTTTTAAAAAGAGAAGTATTGCCACATCTGAGCTACCCAGGCGCCCAATAAATGCAAATTTTTAAAAAGAGAAGTATTGCCACAGATTATACTCTAGTATTTTACACTGTCTTCCCCCCCTTAACTGTCAAAGCAACTCAGATAGAGTGCATAAAATATGGAAAATACAAACTAGTATGAGAGGTGAATTAAAAATCACTGGTAATACCTCCACCCAGATAAAACCACTACTGACTTTTTGGCATGATTTCTTCCATTCCATTGTTCTTGTTCTTGGTGTAGAATAGGCATATAGACAAAGCAAGAGAAGATATTGGTTCATAATAGGGGGGTAGTGGTGGAAATGGCAAGAAATGATCAGATTGAGACTATGTTTTAGGGACAATGTTGATAAGATTTATTGATGGATAAAATGAGGAAGGAAGTGATAGATGAGGGATAGGATTGAGAGAGGAGACATTGATTGGGGATATCAATGATGACTCCCAGGATTTTGACCTGAGTGTCTGTGTGTAATCAGTGTGTTTGGGTGGGTGTACATATAAGAAAACTGTACTCATTTATATATGACTTTTAAAATTTACTGAACATTATATGAATGCACTTTTTAGGCTAGAAATTATACTTCAAAATAATTATTTTAAATGAGTGTGTAATATTCACCCATATGAAGTATTATAGCTTATTTAACTTTTTCCCTATTGTTAGGCATTTAGGGTATTTGCCCCTCTTAATAAATAACACTGTAATGTCCTCAGGGCCCACTTATTTCCTTGTTTCTTCAATTTGAAAATATTTAACTTGAGGGAATTGGCCAAGGTTTGCTGGAATTTGAGCATGGCAGACCAAACAGAGATGAAGTTAGTTGAGAAGAGAGGGGATCATGACTGGAGGTCATCTTGGTTTCAGTCCTCCAAGGGGGCAGAGGGACGTATGTCTCAAACCAGGCTTGCGTTGCTTTAAAGATCATAGCTGGTGGTCATAAACAGTTGCTGAAAGGGACATTTGGCTTAGGGGCAGAGATGGCATGGTCCCTGAAGATTGAAAGACCTGACAAAAGCCAGATTGCAGGACCAGATTCCAGCTGGGAGGCAGTTCTAAAGGAGAATCTCATTTTTTTTTCTTGAGGTCTACTCCAAAAGATAATCATGCTTTTTATCCACCAGGGCAGGGATTTGGGTTGGAGGATAGGGAACCCAAAGCAGAGCTTACTGGGGGAAGCTGAACTTTACAAGATGATGGGTACTTAGCCCATCACTAGGATTTAAACACCCAGACTGTTTCTTGGCCCCAGCCTGGATAAGAAGCAGTTCCCTACTCTACTGTCTGAATCTGCTCAGGAAATCTGCAAAGCTGAGCATGCAAGGCGAAGTCCCCGATCTCTGGCTAGGACTCAGTGGGGGAAGGCTGTGACAGAAATTGAAAACTAGTGTTCATTGAGTGTCTCACCAGTGGGTCCATGGGAGTCAGAAGAGGCTGGAGATGAGATGAAATACTACATCTACCCCTCTTCCTTAAACCTGTGGCCTAGTTACGGAAGCAAGCCCGTCATAAAATTGGTTACTCACCATGAATGACTCTGTTGATATAGAGACCAGGGATGTAATACCTAGTGTCTGAGGAGCCTGAGGTGTTGGACCATCTCAGCATTGCATGAGTTCAATGTGAATGTTTAAACTGTGTCTTTGTTTTGGTGATAATCTGCAAAATACATATTTTTTTCAGTTACAAATATAAGCCTTCTCATTTGCAGAGATAATTTGTATTTAAAGTACATTTTCATAACCTAAAACTTATTTTCTTAAGTTAATGGAATTCAAGCAAGAGTGTGAGATCAAGGATGAGCATGATTCATTTAGGGTGCCTGGAACTTGAAGGATACTCCAGTTTCAGGTTTTAAATACTGCCTCCTGACCCTGAGATGGCAGTAGTTTGGGGAACCCTCTTTTCTCTGTTTCCTCGATTACCTGCCTTTTCTGATGGGTGCATGAGCTTTATGAAATCTTTCTTGAGAAGGTAACTCTCATAGCCCCCTTTAAAGAGTCATCTTCTGACCCTCATGTTACTGATCAGTGTCTAATGTGAAACTCTCTGTGTGTGCCAGAATGTGAATTTTATCTCTGCAGGACTTGACTTCTGAGCAGTTAATGATTCTAGCAGAGACATCCAAAGGAGGGTGCATTGCATCTCCACATTGGGTGTTTGCGTGGTACTCAGGAAGCAGGTGGTCCACCAAGGACTGGAACACTAAAGGGAAATTGTCTCTTTTATGGCCGAACCTCACCTGTACTTTGTTAGAGATTTGTTCTTCTCAAATATCATCCATGGCCTCTTGAGTTATTTTTCTTTTGTACAAAAAGCATCCCAGATCAGTGTTCTTTTTTTTTTTTTTAAGATTTTATTTATTTATTTGAGAGAGAGAGAGAAAGCACAAGCAGGGGGAGCAGCGGAGGGAGAGAGTGAAGCAGACTCCTCGTTGAGCGGGGAGCTTGATGTGGGGCTCGATTCCAGGATCCTGGGATCATGACCTGAGCCGAAGGCAGACGCTCAACCGACTGAGCCACCCAGGTGCCCCCCAGATCAGTGTTCTTTATGGTTCTTCATTTTGCAGTAGTTTTACCAGATTTATTACTAAAACAGAGTTTGTGCTTGTTAATTACATCAGGTCGGACTTCAAGGCTATTTGTTCAGATGTAGGCTGACAAGTCCTTGCTCTTTTTCAATCTTCTTTGCTAAGTAAGATTTTCTCTTTTTTCCTTTACAGATTCCAACAAGATCATGGCGGAGCATTGCCACACGCAGAAGCAGCTCGATTTACAAAATGGTAGCTTAGAGGCAAGCTTGGTGGCAAATTCCCTTGAGGACGATTCCCCAAACATGATGGAGAGCCTGAGCCCGAAGAAATATTCTTCCAGCCTGAGATTTAAAGCCAATGGAGACTATTCTGGCTCTTATTTAACCCTCTCACAACCTGTGGCTCCTAAGAGAAGCCCTTCCCCTCTGGGAACCAGTGTCAGGAGCAGCCCCTCCCTGGCCAAAATCCAGGGAAGCAAGCAGTTCTCCTGTGATGGGACTGACAAAAATATTTCCATGAAACCGCCCACCCCTCTACTCAGCACTTCCCCCTCCCTCAGTGGGTACCCACTTGGGAGAGGGGACTTCGACCATTATACTGGCCGGGACAGTGAAAGGTCCTTGAGGCTCGCAGAGAAGCCTCCCTACTCCAAATATAGCTCAAGGAATAAATCCCACGACAATGTCTACTTTCTCGGGGGGCTGGAAGGCCGGAAGGTGTCCGGCTCGCTCCTGGCCATGTGGAACGGAAGTCCCCTGAGTGACACGGGCCCCTCTCCCATCAGCAGATCGGGGGCAGCAAGCATGCCTTCAAGCCCAAAGCAAGCCAGGAAAATGAGCATCCAGGACAACCTGACCCTTCAGCCCAAGTTGAGCCAACACAAGGAGCCGGCATCTGAAAACATGGGTTTAAGAACTAGGAAGTATTCGGGCAGCAGCCTGAGTCACATGGGAGCCTACAGCCGCTCTCTCCCCAGGTTACACAGGGCCACCGACAACCAGCTGACACCCCTCAGTTTGCCTCCCAGAAACTCTCTGGGCAGTTCCAAACGAACAAAACTGGGGGAAAAGGATCTACCTCATAGCATCATAGACAATGACAATTACCTGAATTTTTCTTCTTTGAGCTCAGGGGCTTTACCCTATAAACCCTCAGCGTCTGAGGGCCATCCTTACGTCAGTTCCACCCTCAGTGTCCCTGCCAGTCCGCGAGTGGCTCGCAAGATGCTTCTGGCCTCCACCTCCTCCTGTACCTCCGATGACCTTGACAGGGCTTCCTACTCTGGGCCTGGCCCAGGTCACTCGTTTCCTCCCGGGGAGCCGGACAGAGTGTTTGCCGCCAGGAGGAACTTCTCTTGTGGATCTGTCGAGTTTGATGATGCAGATTTGGACAGCCTCAGACAGGCCTCAGGAACTCCCCAGCCCATCCTTCGGGAAAGGAAAAGCAGCATCAGCTCCATTTCAGGCCGCGATGACCTGATGGATTATCACCGGCGGCAGAGGGAGGAGAGACTCAGGGAGCAGGAGATGGAGCGACTGGTAATCTTCTTCATCTGACTTGACCTCACTCTTCCCTTGAGCAGCTTCTTGGAGACGCACTCCAAGGATATGTGTGGGCCTGTAGGATGTCCAAGGGCACCAGCCACTGCTGTGCCTTTCTAGAATTCTGCTGTCCTTCCCTTTCTCGTGCCCTATTATTGGTCACGTGTGGGTACTTGAAGGCCTACCTGTAGCTAGTGTTATGTTAAGTTGCTCTGCAGCGTCTTCTTGATAAACCTAACCAAGTAGTTGTGAATTTTACTGAATTTCTTATAAGTCCTACAAACTTTTCTTTAAGACTGTGAGTAAACACTGATTTATATTACCGATGCCATCAAATGAGCATGTGCGTGGTCTGATAGGAATAATCGGTGAAATCATGACTCATTGGGAATTAGGCAGTAAACTTTTTGGTAGAGCAAGTGGTCTGGAAAGTTGAAAGGTCGGCTAAATGTTGCTCAACCTTTTTCCTGCAAGGTACACATACACCACCCCCATACGCCTTTCAGTGATGTCTCCTAGTACATAGTGACACCCAACTACACATTCAGAAAAGTTTTTTGAGTTGTCTTTTTCTATTGAAAATGGATTTATGCTTATTGTGGGAAATACTGAAAATAGTAAGAAAGGAGGAAACATCTCTTGAGAGTCCCATTAAGGAATGAGGACAAACTACTGCATTCTTATTCTTTTTTTCTTTTAAGCATAGACTTTTTTGTCCATGTGTTTTTTAGGAAGAACAGGGTCAGAGATTATTTTAATTCATTAATGGTGAGTTGTTCCTTGATGAGGGATGCAGCAAGATGATAAAGCTGATCTACAAAAGTATAAGAGTATCAAAAGTATTTTCATTGCTAAAAGAAAGTGTACTGGAATAAGATTTCTGAATCACATACCAAGCTGAGTAATGCCCCACAGGATAATAAAATTATAACCTTTGGATTCAAATGGACAGAAACCGTTTGCACCTATCCAGGACAAAATTTGATTGGAGTTTTAGAAACAGCATCATTTGCATCACTAGTAATTTTTGATAAGTAAATATCTATCCTTACAGATATCCTAATCAGTAATAGTGAATGAAAACGAATGTGCATACCCTTAGAGAATTCTATATTCCTTGGGTGGGTCTGTTAGATGGTGCTCCAGTATGACAATTTCCTTTGTTATCGTAAATAATCTCCAGAGATTTTTCATGGTCACAAAAAGGTATTGTATTTGGGCTTGATCCATTGACATAAGTTCAGGAGAAGTTTTAATTAGCATATGAAAAAGCTTTCTTGTATGTGGGATAGCAAATCTGGCTCCATAGTGTGCTGCACAACTCTTACTTTTTTTTATTATAGTATAATTGACACAGTGTTACATGAGGTACGTTAGTTTCAGGCATACAACATAGTGATTCTGCATATCTATGCCTTAGGCTATGCTCCCTGCGAGCGTGGCTCCCATCTGTCACCTTACAACTACTGACTATATCCCCTGTGCTGTACCGTTCATCCTGGAGCAACTATTATTAGTGAAGCCAGAAAGTTAACCTCTATTGGATAATTTATTAAGGAATCTAGGAGAGCATTTCAATGGCTTCCTTCACTCGTCAGTGATCTTCCTGAGATGCTATTATTTCCTCTTCTGTTCCAAGGGCAGGAAACCAACCTCGAAAATCACCTCCAGGTTTCATCTTTACACTTTTAAGTGTGGTGAATTTCTCATTCCTCCAGTTTCCCCAAATCTGCTAAAGTTCCCGACAATCCAGGAAGTGACCTTCCTTACTGCCTGTAAAGTCAGCGCCTTGTAAGTCACAAGCAGGTCTTGGTTCAACTTCTTGGGAGAACTTTGTGGGTATTGGCTCCAAATATGAAGTTAGAACCCTTTTTTGCTTCATGATGGGCTTTATGATATTCGATGAAATGAGGCTTATGTTTAAGTATGATGCTCTGGGTTTGGCCTCTGTTGCTTAGTCTATTTGCCTAGTGACCTCCCAGTAAAAGGGAAGATAGATTCTTACTGAGCCCTATGCAAGTAATGTTTTTGCATTTAAAAAATACAGTGACTTAGAAAAAATATTTCTTCCTGAATTCTGAGGGACCAAGGAGAACAAGCTACCCTTGAAAGAATGTTTCATTTAGTTTGCAAAATCAGAGTCAGCTAAATTGAGGGTTAGAGATAGATGGAGACGAATGCTAAAGGTGTTCCCCATTTAGACAGTGGAACATTATACATAATGCCAATGATTTTCCACAATACATACGGAAATTAGATTTCCAGTATCAGTTCGATGAGTTCTGTATAATTCTTATTCCTTTGCATCTTGGGTCATTAATTTGATTTCATGAAGTCATCTATTTGTGGACTAAAAGAAGTCCTCAGAATCTGATTTAGCCACCTCATACTGTCTCATGCTTGCCTATGCGGTGGCACCTCAGAAGCCTCTACTCACAAGATTGAAGAAAGAGTATCTGGTAAAGTTGTTTCCACCAGGCCCTGAGACTCTTTCTTTGTTAAAGGCATATTGTGGTCTATAACTTACAGCAGAATGTCTAGGCAAACCTGAGAGGAAAGCAGAGACCTCTTGGTGAGGATAAGAGTAAGTGGCTGTGATTAATTTGTGGTTAAGTTCATGAACAGTAATCAGCAAGAAGGAGAGTTAAAATCCTCTGTCAGGGCGTGGGACATTGGTCTTATTTAATCAGTGTTTCCCCAGAGGGTAAGAACGTTTCACAGAGAGTGAGGACATTTCACATACTCAGGACCTTTGTGTAAAGTACACCATCTCTGGACTTTATTTATATTATAATATTTTACCCATACAAAATTAGCCTAGGGAAGGCTGAGCTTCTCATCTGATTTGATAAATCTTCCTATGCAATTTTTGATGGTGTTGAGCTATTCATAAATAAGGGCATAGCAAACCTAATTATTTCTGACATTCTTCTTTTTGTAAAGTTAAGGAACAAATCTTGTGCTTGCCCAGGTGTCAAATGGGAAAACTTAAGGATAGTTCAGATATAAAAGATATCTTGGAAAACTTTTTTTTTTTTTCTGAATTTAGGGTCCGATTTTGGGAAGGCAAAATCAAATATTAATTAGAGAAGATTTCATTACGTGACTAATATAGGATTGTGGATACATGAGAACAATGAATATTTGCAGTTTGCCTACTGAATAAAGCAACAATAGATTATTTTATAATCTACAAGATATCTTAAATCATTAGGAAATGAAGAACTTTTATGTCATTTTAAATATTCAGGAAGGGGCACCTGGGTGGCTCAGTCGTTAGGCGTCTGCCTTCTGCTCAGGTCATGATCCCAGGGTCCTGGGATTGAGCCCCACATTGGGCTCCCTGCTCAGTGGGAAGCCTGCTTCTCCCTCTCCCACTCCCCCTGCTTGTGTTCCCTCTCTTGCTGTGTCTCTCTCTGTCAAATAAATAAATAAAATCTTTAAAAATAAATAAATAAATAAATATTCAGGGATATATTCCAGTTAGCACAAAGCACAAAAAAAGTACTCTTGTGAGATACTGAATCTCTCTGCTCTCTGGGCAGATTATGTAGAAAAATAACCTTTATTACTTTTTATAAGCATAGGCTGATTTCTCCAAGATCAATCTATCATTTCAATATAGGTAACTGCATTTTAGTTTTATGTTAATAGGGTATTTGTCATGCATTACATTTTTTTAAAAGATTTTATTTATTTATTTGAGAGAGAGAGAGAGACAGAAAGGCAGAGAGAGAGAATGAGCAGGGGAAGGAGCAGAGGCAGGGGGAGAAGCAGACTCTCCACTGAGCAGGGAGCCCGATGTGGGACTCGATCTTGGGACTCCAGGATCATGACCTGAGCTGAAGGCAGACACTTAACTGACTGAGCCACCCAGGTGCCCCCATGCATTACATTTTTTAAAATTACTTTATGAATAAACCCATCAAAGTTGTGCAAACGTTGCCATAATTTGAACATTTTATTACATTTTTATAGACTTGCTACTGCAAGTATTATAAACCAAGTCAAATAAAGCTCCCTTTGTGCAAACCTACAATTTTAAAATTTTCATGAACTTTTGTTCTTCATGGTCTTCTGTCAATTCTGGAATGACCGGATACTTTAAGGCAAAAAGTATGTAACTTAAAGATATTGGAAATTATGCTTAAACTGACACATCACAGAACATAATTACTATTGATATAAAAAGGTGTGTCACAGTTACAATTCAGTTTTGTTTTGAGCACAACTTTTGTATTTTTCTTAACCTTAAACATTATATGGAAGTGATCTTAGCTTATCTTTCAATGAACTAATATTATAAGACATTTAAAAAATTCAGATAAACTAATTCCTTTGTGATAAAAATAAATCCAAACTTATTTAAGTATGAAATTACAGGAGCACCTGGGTGCCTCAGTTGGTTGAGCATCTGACTCTTGGTTTCAGCTCAGGTCATGATCTCAGTCCTGGGATCCAGCCATGCACTGGGCTCTGTGTTCAGCATGGAGTCTGCTTGGGATTGTCTCCCTCTCCCTCTGTCCCTCCCCCACTCATGCTCTCTCTTTCTCTTTCTCGTAAATGAATAACTCTCTCAAAAAAAGTAGGAAATTACACATGTATTATACTGTACACAAATAAAACAAGGAAAAAACATATAGCTGATTTTTAAACCAGGTTGTCAAATCAGTCTGACTTGTACAAGAGATTGCTTTGATCATGTAAACTTGTTTTCTAAGAAAAAAACTGCTTCTGAAATCAGCATTTTTTGATGAGAAGGTTCTTTTTCTTAAAATGTGAATATATTTTAATTATTAGACTTCCATTTTATTTTCTTAGAATTTTGGAAATGTTAGATTTATCTAAATGCTTATTAGTCTCTAAAGCAATTTATTATTATCCCCAAGAAGTAGGAAAATACTTCACATATACACAGTGATTTTTTGCCCCCCTCAGGTACACAGACTCAGATAAAGAACTTAAAGCTTGGTTCTATAGCTTTAGCTAGAGGTCAA